AATTTTGGACGAATAAATCTAAAGTAGGTCTGCCACTTAATTCGAATCGCGATATGAACTAGTGTCTGTGAATATTAAAATGCAAAAAGACGGTTTAAATATGAATCCTGCATGTTCCGCTTGCCTCTGTATGTATGAATGGTGGAAACGCGGTTTTGTTTACTACACATATACTGAAGCACGCGTGACGCTCGCGGTGATTTTCGGCCTCTGCGTCTCACTATATGACGGCATGAACACAAAAACTTAATCTCCAGAGCTGCTGTGAGAGTCACTTCGCGAGAATTTTACCGTTTCATTTGAGAAAACTAGCATCATCATACTGTATACACACAGAAACTTCATGGCAACCTGTCAAAATAAAAGTGCGGTTTAACATGTAACAGAAATATATTACTCTTGTATTACTTTTGTGAAGTATAATGTACATCTTTAAAAATTAAATTTCTATCAAATGTAAATAAAACAATTAAATGATAAAAATAAATATTACAACCAGATGAATCACTTAATTGTAGAAAAAAATAATACAATTATTAGCCTATTAAAATTTTTTTTTAAAGGAATATTCACACAATTTTTCTTCCATGTATTAATTTCAACAGTAAACCTCAGTGTGTTTGCCAAAAAATAAAAGGGTTTAATTTTCATTTGATTTAAAATAAATGTTTAATGCCTTCATTAAAGGGGGGGGGGAGAAAAAGTTTGTAGGATTTTTTTTTTTTTTCTTCTTTGAAACATTTTTGTTTTTTATTTATTTTTATTTTAGTTTTAATTATTTTAGTACTTCAGCTGAAAGTTAGGGTTAGGTGAAATGTTGTCTTGACAAAAAAATATATAATTTCAATATTTTATTTCTGTTACCGTTTACTTTATTTTAAGTAACATTTCTTTCTGGTTTTAGTTATAAAACTACGACAGCCCTGGTGAGTGATTTGTTAGATTGATTAATAAGCCATCATGCCTTTGAGATTTGTTCGTTTGTGAGTCTTTTTGAAAATGAAAATGTCTTGAAAAATTACTCACTGTTAATTACTCACTGTATATGAGTTTGTTTGTTCATCAGGTTTGTAGAAATGTAGCATTGCATCAGTGTCTCAGCAATGGATGCTCTGCAGTGAATGGGTGCCGTCAGAATGAGAGTCCAAACTAGGGTTGGGTACCGAACTCGGTACTTTTAAGGGTATAGTGATAGTTGTTCGATTCCAGCATCTTTGTGTATTTGAACCCTTTCCAACAATAACTGTATGATTTTGAGACTCATCTTTTCACACGGAGGACAACTGAGGGACTCATATGCAACTATTACAGAAGGTTCAGACGCTCGCTGATGCTCCAGACGGAGAAACCATGCATTAAGAGCCGGGGGGTGAAAACTTTTAAATAAAAGGGTTTAATTTTCATTTGATTTAAAATAAATGTTTAATGCCTTCATTTGATTTTCAGAAAAATTAATCCCCCAGCTCCTACACAATCTTTGGTTTTCCAGCATCTTTGTGTATTTGAACCCTTTCCAACAATAACTGTATGATTTTGAGACTCATCTTTTCACACGGAGGACAACTGAGGGACTCATATGCAACTATTACAGAAGGTTCAGACGCTCGCTGATGCTCCAGACGGAGAAACCATCTTCTGGGAAACATGTAAGTATCTTCTGTATCCTCTGAAGGGCAGTACTAAATGAAAAAAATATGATATTTAGGCAAAATATGAAAAATTTAAACATCTTCATTCTGTTCAAAAGTTTTCAGAAGGAAAAACCATGCATTAAGAGCCATGCATGTAATGATGGCTCTTAATGCATGGTTTTTCCTTCTGAAGCATCAGCAAGCGTTTGAACCTTCTGTAATAGTTGCATATGAGTCCCATATCATTCAGCTAACAACACGGTATAAAGAATCAAGGGGATGTAAACTTTTAAACGGGGTCATTTTTATAAGTTATTTTCTCTTGTGGACTATATGTAAACTTCTTTTATGTGAAATATCGAACGTAAGTAAGTAAGAAGCATCATCACCAGCACCGCACATGAAAAATAATTTCCCGACTGAGAAAATGCACTTGAATTCAAGTCGGAAAGCTCTAATAATACAAATCCAACACATCTTTGTAGTAATGCGAGTGTCCATACTTAATTATTATGAAAATACCAGAGATGGCTTGAATAACACAGATAAACTATATTGTCGCAGTCGAGTGTTTATTATCTTTGTTTTATCATTCAAAACATTTATATGCTCTATTTACTCAGTTACAGATATAATAGCATGCCTTTGTCCATATAAGGGATTTCCTGGAGGGTCATGCTACTTCTGTGACTGGATATGTGGATTTTCTGTGCGAGGGCGCCCTCTGGCGTCCAGTATGAATGAAACAGACATCATGTGTTTATAGTGCTAATGGCCAAT